GAAGAGTTGACTCATTGGAAAAGACCCTGATGCTGGGAGGGATTGGGGGCAGGAGGAGAAGGGGGCGACAGAGGATGAGATGGCTGGATGGCATCACTGACTTGATGGGCATGAGTCTGAGTAAACTCCAGGAGTTGGTGATAGACAGGGAGGCCTGGCGTGCTGCGATTCATGGGGTCGCAAAGAGTCGGACACGACTGAGCGCCTGAACTGAACTGAACTGAACTGAAAAATCAACATTCAAAAAACGAAGATCATGGCATCTGGTCCCATCACTTTTGTCTATTATAATGTAGTTCAGAGTAATCTGAGAAGGGTGTAAATTAGAGAATTTGGAATATTTTAAATAAAGGAAACACCTGGACCTAAAGCAGCACTTCAGATAGAACTTTAGAACCCACCAGAACAAAAGTATTCTGAGAGATTTAATGATGTCTACCAACTTGATTATGATGTGTCAGCGTAAGGACCCAAACAAGGAGGCATGATCAGTTCTCCTGCTACCAGTGCTATAAGGAAAAAAGACCATGTGGTAACAGAGACCCAGAAAAGTTCTTTCTGCCATAGGAATTTTGGCTTCTCATGATCCCTACATAAGCCAAGGTAGAGCACATCCAGTTTGGGACACATGATGGAATAGTCTCAGAGACCTGTCATTACGTATTATATCAGTTTTTCACATGGTGCAGTGCTCACTGCTCCCTCTCAAGATCTTAATACTTCTTCACTGGATTATTCTTTCACTCATTCAGCCTACATCACAATCACCTGAACCTAAAACTCTCTGTATTGCTCTTCATTACTATTTGCAGAATAATATAAAATCAGAGTCCTAATAAAATGAAAACACAGTAGTACTGCTTTCAAATAATAATGTATGCAACTTCAGAATTTCATTTGTATAAAATCCCAGACTTAATATGTCAAATGCACTTAATACAGTCAAACGCAGTAAGAAATCACGACGTATCTTTTTCATAAGATATCTTCTTTCATTTAATTTTTAAAATTTAAAATATCATGAGGAAAATGTGAATTCCTAGTGCTCCTCAGGAAAACACTAATAACAAAATCTTCTTCAAGTATTACCATATGAACCAAAACACTAAAGAATAGGAGAAGTGAAAATGTACAAGTATTGTGTGAGTCCTTAATTAATGCAAGAAAATCCAATTATTTTTAATACACCAAGATAATATATTTTATACCAGTTAAAATTATAAAATTGATAGATGGCAAGGGGAGGCCTTACTTTGAAGTTTTACTGCTGTTTTGCAATCCACATCATCTTGCTAGCTTTTACTTTAATTGTATAGAGAAACTGGAGTGTAAAGATAAGTGATGGAATGAAAGCAGACACCCAATTATCCACTAATTAATACCGCTCCTGCATAATCAACTGGGAAGTAGAAAGAAGAGAATTTCGGCCTTATTAGAAAGTTTTACTTTTCCAGCTTTTACTAATCATGGCATAGAGCTAGCCATTTATGTCCAGATTTCTAAGAACATCATAAGACACTCCAATTAGAAAATTAATGATGCCACTGGCATCTTAAAATTTTTAATGATTATCATTTGATGAAAAATAGAATAGCCATCAGATTTCAGATGCAGGTTTCATTCTTTAAAAGAAAAAAGATAAAACTAAGAAACGAGAGAGTACAAATAATCATTACCAGATAAACATCAACCAACATTAGATTTTAAAAGCAAAGTATAAAAGAGAGCATCATTATCTTTAATTTCAGTAGCTACTCTTCAACATACTAAATCTACATTTTAAATTTGAAATTTTTAGCATTCCTTTTCCCAGAGGAAAAATTTTATATGTAGTTCCCTTAAACGGATTCAAAATCTTATATGAATCAACTCATTTCTCTACAACATTACAGTGGTTGATGGCCCCTAATTAACATGGCAACCTCAAATCATTAGTAATTTCAAATTTAAAACTCTGGGCTGGGAGTTGGGGTACCAGAGTTCTGTTAACTTGGCTAATGAGTTTCTGTGAAACTTTGGGCAAGTCCCTTATCTTGTGCTTCACTGTCTCCATTTAAAATGGAGAAAATAAGACAGTCCTGCCCCATCTCACTGACCATAACAGAAGTGAGATCCAATGTTTTAAAAAAAAAAAAGCCATAAATAATTTTTTAATGAAAAAGACTATTATAATTATTTTTAGTTTTTTAGTACCAAATTCTTAGTGGACTCAAATAATCTGAAGTTCATTCAACCTCTTACATTTCAAATAATCATGGAGAAAAAAAAAAAAAATAATCATGGAGCAATTTGCTCACTAATAAAAAGAAATCAGTTTGATCTAACTAGTAAATGTTAAAGGAAGGACAGTATATTTTAGCTCTTAATTCCAAATAAAGACAATGCAATAAATATATGATGAAGATGTGTTTGTACACAGAACACTCCCCATAACTACAGACAACAAGCAATTTTTTATAAATTCAACTAGCATTAAATTCTTATTTGAATGAAAGTGTGTTAGTTGCTCAGTTTTGTCCCACTCTTTGCGACCCCGTGGACTGTAGCCTGCCAGGCTCCTCTGTCCATGGAATTCTCCAGGCAAGAATACTGGTGTGGGTGGCCATCTCCTTCTCCTGGGGATCTTCCCCGTGCAGGGATTGAACCTGGGTCTCCTGCATTGCAGGCCGGTTCTTTCCCATCTGAGCCACCAGGGAACATAGCAGGATAAAACTATTACCTCTCTCTTTCCATCCTGAAAAATCACCTAAAAATAACATGAAGAATAAGAAACACAAATTTCATTTTTGGCAAGTTTAGGAGACAAACCACAAAATGAGCACAGAGGCCACCTAACTCAACAGACACACAATACGGTTGTAGACTGCAGGCATTGTTACGGTTGTAGATGTCAGAAAGAACACAGTGATGGTTAGGGGCACAATCTTGGGGATGATGGGCACTCCCTAAGGCATAAATTCCTTAATTTTATCAGTAGAAATAAGGAGCATCAGCTGACAGCCAGAGCTCTCCTGAATATGCTTTGATTTTAATAAGTAGAGGGGGACACTGCTAACCAAGCAATCACACAGATAAACTGTATTTGCAAAGAGAAGTTTGTCTCTGTGGTTATGTATCTCCATTACTGAGGAAAAAGGAAAGAGGGAAAGAAGAAAAATTAAGTCAAAAAAGAACATTCACAAGAAAAATGCTGCTACAGAGCAGATGAAAATAATGACAAATATTAGTCATATAATTATTAGCCAATAAAACAATTATGCAATCAGCTCTAAGTTGGGATTCACAAAAAATATATAATCATAAAATTTTATTGATTAGTAGCATAATGACTAAACCAGGATAATCAGTCACTCACCTCTGACTTGTGTTTTATTTCTTTTTCTTCTAAAATACGTGCAAATTCTTCTTTCTGGTGTTCAAATTCTGATTTGAGAAATGTATGTTCATAGCGAAGCTTATTATACTCAGCTCTATACTTTTCCACTTCCTAAATTTAAAAAGATTGTAATTTATCACAAATTTAAAAATGAAACTTATAGTTACTTCAAAAATCACTTTTGCAAAAAACTTAAACTGTTTTATACTGAAAGCCAATCTAAAAGTAAAAAATAAGCTTAACAGAAGTATAAACAAACTTTGGAAAAGTCCTCATGACAAGAATGCTACAAACAGAATTAGCACACTCCTGAAAAGGTATTAATAAAGCAAATTATCATTAATCTCATTTCCTCATTGATTCTCATAATAGAAATGTGTAGCATGTCCCAAGTTTTGACTTCAGGGCTTAATAAAATAATATTTAAGAATGTAGCACACCTTTCAAAATAGATTTTAGAAGTTAATTCTGTGAGAGAGTAGCACTGAAGTATTTACACTACCATGTGTAAAATAGCTAGCTAGTGGGAAGCTGCTATATAGCACAGGGAGCTCACCTCAGTGCTCTGTGATAACCTAAAGAGATGGAATGGGGGGTGGGAGTGGAAGGGAAGCTCAAAAAGGAGGGTATATAAGGGTATATACGTATATATACAGTTGATTCACATTGCTGTACAGTCAATATTGTAAAGCAACTACATTCGAATTTTAAAAAATAATAAAAATAAAAACTAATTCTATAACATAAAATACCCAGTTAAAAGTCAGAAAGGATGAATTCTAAGTATGTAAATAGTTATTTGAATGCCTAGCATAGTAACCTAAGGTTCAATCAAATGTTATAATGATAGTCCAAGTCAACACACCAGTCTGAAGTATAACGTCAACCCTCCTGACTAACCAACAACACATGCAATACCTATGATCCAATTCTGCTCCCTAACACTAAAAAGTTGATGGCATTCTGAATCCCAACAAAAACTTAGGCAACAGAGCAAGAAGAAGTGGGAGACACTATTTCAACATGCATCAAGAAATTAGTAAGGAGAGCATGCCTCCTAAAATACTCTGCTCACTGTAAATCTTCAGTTGAAAGATTTCTAAGTCAGTTTATTGACCAAGAAAGTGGGTTTCATAATTTTATTATGGACATACTTTGATTAAAAAAAAAATCCTTTCACTTAACTTGATCATCTAACTCAGGTTTAAGTGATTTTGTTATATCCCAAATTTAAATCTACTCAGTTCAGTTCAGTCTCTCTGTTGTGTCCGACTCTTTGTAACCCCATGGACTGCAGCACGCCAGGCCTCCCTGTCTATCACCAACTCCCGGAGTTTACTCAAACTCATGTCCATTGAGTTGGTGATGCCATCCAACCATCTCATCCTCTGCCGTCCCCTTCTCCTCCTGCCTTCAATCTTTCCCAGCATCAGGGTCTTTTCCAATGAGTCAGTTCGTCATATCAGTTGGCCAAAGTATTGGAGTTTCAGCTTCAGCATCAGTTCTTCCAATGAATATTCAGGACTGATTTCCTTTAGGATGGACAGGTTGGATCTCCTTGCAATCCACGGGACTCTCAAGAGTCTTCAACACCACAGTTCAAAAGCATCAATTCTTCGATGTTCTTTATAGTCCAATTCTCATATCCATACGTGACTACTGGAAAAACCACAGCCTCAACCAGATGGACCTTTGTTGGAAAAAGTAATGTCTCTGCTTTTTAATATGCTGTTCAGGTTGGTCATAACTTTTTTTCCAAGGAGTAAGCGTCTTTTAATCTTATGGCTTCAGTCACCATCTGCAGTAATTTTGGAGTCCAAAAAATAGTTTACTACTACTAAACTGTAATGCTTTGGTTACCAACGAGGATGATATTCAAAAAATGACTTTATCAAGCCAGAAAATCATTTAGAAAAGAGGATTCCACAACTATTTTGTGCAATGGCAGTATCACTAGACTACAACTTTCCAAAGGGGTCCATTGTGAAGGGGACAATATTCATTTGCATCTATAAGATTCAGCATATTTATTAAATAAAGTAACATATAAAATGTCTAGCATAGTTACCTAATATAGTCAGTATTTGTCATCTTTTCCTGTTCCTTTATTAAACAATTAGTCACATTATACTAACATTGCATATGAGGAGACATCTCAATTTGAAGAAAAACTAACAAATTTTTACTTTTCTGAGGTTGCTTGAAATTCATTCTTTCATTCAACAAACATTAATTGAGCACCTGCTGTATGCTAAGAGTTTCAACAACTCGGACTATAACAGTCAACAAAAACAGATAAAGGTTCCTCTTCTCATGCAACTTACATTCTAGCAGTTGTAAAGAGAAAAATTTTAAAACAAATACAATAAACATATAGCATATTCAGAAGATTATAAATATTAGAGAAAAATTAAAAGTAAAGCAGAGTAAATGGGCATCCAAACATCTAAAGACTGATGGGAAAGTCAGGCTGCAATATTAAATGGAGGCAGTAGGTCAAAGCAGGCCTCACTGGGAAGGTGAAATTTCAACTGCCTTGAAGATGAGAAAGTTAACCAAGAGATACATGGCAGGAGTAATAGCTACGGCAAAGCCTCGAATGGCACCATTTCTAGAGTGCCAACACCAATAAGGTTAATGTGGATGGAGGAACAGGGTCTTATCCTGTGCAGTCTTGAAGGGCACTATAAGGACTTTGAGTAAGAATGGAAGCCACTGCAGGGCTTTTGAGTAGGAAAATGATGCTTTTCTCATCAAGCCTTTCACAGTCTAATGAAAATATAAATACAAATTACTTACTTCATCTAGATTCCTAAAACGTTCTCTCATTGGAGTTTCCAGCTCTTGTTGTATTTGGGCTCGTAACAATTCCAACTTTTGTGGAGTTAATACCTAATACGTGGAGAAATACAAACAATTCTAAATACAAAATCACAAATATTAAATTCAGGAATTAGACAAATTTTGAAGCCTCTCCCCTAATCATAAAGTGAAATTCAACTAACAGAAATGTCACAATATACTTAATTTTACAGTAATCATTATATAAAAGGAACCATTACCTGAAACAATAAAACTCAATTTCAAGCTCTCAGAGATTAACAGACTAACACACAGAGTCAAACTTCATAAAGATTACAAAAATTTACCAGGAAGTATGTCTCTCCCCATAATTAGTTCAAAATCTCAAGTGAAAAATAATTTACACATATTAATACCTAAAAACAGGCAATACAGGTTGACCAGACAAGATGAACAAAAAAGATATTCAGTACAGAAAGAATGGCACATCAAAGGAACAGGAAAACTAAAACTTACGTAGAACACAAAATCAAAGAATGGATAAAATATTAGATTCACTAGGGAGAAAAATGATGCTCAAAGGTGGCCTAAAGGCATTTTAGGTAGAACCACACTAAGCACTACAGGAAATTCAGAATTCTGAGACCCTGAGTCAATACTGGTAGTAATCTCCAGACTCTGTAACAACCAAGACCATGCTGAAAATTCTGTTAAACACTGCCCAGGTGACGTGCATCCTGGCTGGAAACAAAAGGGAAAGGGGAGCCATAGAGTAGAAGGTTCCTGAATACCAAGTTTATCCTCTTATAACTTATTCCATACTTATTTAAAATCTTTCCTTTTTACTTAAAATGAATAAACATAATTACATAAATAAAATAATTCAAACAAAATAAAATATAATAGGAAAAATCTGTCTTTTTCTCACTTCAGTCATCTAGCTTCCCTCTTAGAAACCAACCAGTGTAACTTTTGTAGCTTTCTTGAGGCAGTCTATAATGCATAAGCACATATACTACGCTCAATTTTTACAGAAAGAAAGGCATACCATACACATTTTTCTGCACCTTGTTTATTCATTGAAGGTTTTTGAGCTTAAGAATGGTAACATCATATGTTCATTTTAGGAAGAAGCAAGATGGATCAAAACTGCTGGTAGGAGAAAACTGGTGGCTTTGGGAAGGAGAAGCAGTGAATGGGGCTAGAGAAACCAAAGAGAAAGTTCCTCTTATAAAATGGTTCGTGATGTCAAGAGACTAATAATTGAGTCCAAAGTGCAAAGTAACTGTTTTAGTTAGTTCAGTCACTCAGTCGTGTCAGACTCTTTGTGACCCCATGGACTGCAGCACGCCAGGCCTCCCTGTCCATCATCAACTCCCGGAGCTTGCTCAAACTCATGTCCATTAAGTCGGTGATGTCATCTAATCACATCCTCTGTTGTCCCCTTCTCCTCCGGCCTTCAATCTTTCCCAACATCAGGGACTTTTCCAGTGAGTTAGTTCTTCGCATCTGGTGGCCAAAGTACTGGAGTTTCAGCTTCAGCATCAATCCTTCCAATGAATATTCAGGACTGATTTCTTTTCGGATGGACTGGTTGGATCTCCTTGCAGTCCAAGGGACTCTCAAGAGTCTTCTCCAACACCACAGTCCAAAAGCATCAATTCTTCAGCGCTCAGCTTTCTGTATACTCCAACTCTCACACCCATACATGACTACTGGAAAAACCACAGCTTTGACTAGATGGACTTTTGTTGGCAAAGTGATGTCTCTGCTTTTTAATATGCTGTTCAGGTTGATCATAACTTTTCTTCCAAGGAGCAAGCGTTTTCCAAATTTGCTGGCATAGAGAATGCAGCGCTTTCACAGCAACATCATTTAGGATTTGAAATAGCTCAACTGGAATTCCATCACCTCCACTAGCTTTGTTCATAGTGATGCTTCCTAAGGCCCACTTGACTTCACGTTCCAGGATGTCTGGCTGTCGGTGAGTGATCACACTATCGTGGTTATCTGGGTCATGAAGATCTTTTTTGTATAGTATTGCTGTGTATTGTTACCACCTCTTCTTAATATCTTCTGCTTCTGTTAGGTCCATAGAATTTCTGTCCTTTATTATGCTCATCTTTGCATGAAATGCCTAATGCATGGTATCTCTAATTTTCTTGAAGAGATCTCTAGTCTTTCTCATTATATTGTTTTCCTCTATTTCTTTTCATTGAACACTAAGGAAGCCTTCTGTATCTCACCTTGCCATTCTTTGGAACTCCGCATTCAAATGGGTATATCTTTCCTTTTCTCTTTGCCTTTTGCTTCTCTTCTTTTCACAACTGTTTGTAAAGCCTACTCAGACAACCACTTTGACTATTTGCATTTCTTTTTCTTGGACATGGTCTTGATCACTGCCTCTTGTACAATGTCACAAAGCTACATCCATAGTTCTTCAGGTACTCTGTCTATCAGATCTAATCTCTTGAATCCATTTGTCACTTTCACTGTATAATATAGGGATTTGATTTTGGCCATACCTGAATGGTTTAGTGGTTTTCCCTACTTTAAGTCTGAATTTGGCAATAAGGAGTTCATGATCTGAGCCACCATCAGCTCCTGGTCTTGTTTTTGCTGACTGTATAGAGCTTCTCCATCTTTGGCTGCAAAGAATATAATCAATCTGATTTCGGTGTTGACCATCTGGTGATGTCCATGTGTAGAGTCTTCTCTTGTGTTGTTGGAAGAGGGTGTTTGCTATGACCAGTGCGTTCTCTTGGCAAAACTCTATTAGCCTTTGCCCTGCTTCATTCTGTACTCCAAGGCCAAATTTGCCTGTTACTCCAGGTGTTTCTTGACTTCCTACTTTTGCATTCCAGTCCCCTATAATGAAAAGGACATCTTTTTTGGGTGTTAGTTCTAAAAGGTCTTGTAGGTCTTCATAGAACCGTTCAACTTCAGCTTCTTCAGCATTACTGGTTGGGGCATAGGCTTGGATTACCGTGATATTGAATGGTTTGCCTTGGAAATGAACAGAGATCATTCTGTCATTTTTGAGATTGCATCCAAGTACTGCATTTCGGACTCTTTTGTTGACCATGATGGCTACTCCATTTCTTCTAAGGGATTCTTGCCCACAGTAGTAGATATAATGGTCATCTGAGTTAAATTCACCCATTCCAGTCCATTTTAGTTTGCTGATTCCTAAAATGTCGACGTTCACTCCTGCCATCTCCTGTTTGACCACTTCCAATTTGCCTTGATTCATGGACCTAACATTCCAGGTTCCCATGCAATATTGCCCTGAACAGCATTGCCCTTTCCTTCCATCACCAGTCACATCCACAACTGGCTGTTGTTTTTGCCTTGGCTCCATCTCTTCATTCTTTCTGGAGTTATTTCTCCACTGATCTCCAGTAGCATACTGGGCACCTACTGACTTGGGGAGTTCATCTTTCAGTGTCCTATCTTCTTGCCTTTGCAAACTGTTCATGGGGTTCTCAAGGCAGGAATACTGAAGTGGTTTGCCATTCCCTTCTCTAGTGGACCACGTTTTGTCAGAACTCCCCACCACAACATGTCCATCTTGGATGAGTGACGCTAAATGGCATGGTTTATAGCTTCATTGAGTTAGACAAGGCTGTGTTCCATGTGATCAGATTGGTTAGTTTTCTGTGACTGTGGTTTTCAATCTGTGTGCTCTCTGACGGAGAAAGATAAGAGGCTTATGGAAGATTCCTGATGGGAAAGACTGACTCTCAGGGGAAAACTGAGTCTTATTCTGATGGGCGGGGCCATGCTCAGTATATCTTTACTCTAATATTCTGTTGATGGGCAGTGCTGTGTTCTCTCCTGGTTATCTACCTGGGGCCAAACTATGGTGGAGATGATGAAGACAATGGTGACCTTCTTCAAAACGTCCCATGCATGCTCTCAGTGCCCCCGCCCTCCAGAAGGTTGCGGCTGACCCACACCTCTGCCAGAGACTCCTGGACACTCACAGCTAAGTCTGGGTCAGTCTCTTGTGGAGTCACTGCTCCTTTCTCCTGGGTCCTGGTGCACCCAAGGTTCTGTTTGTGCCCTCCAAGAGCCTGTTTTCCCAGTCCTGTGTAAGTTCTGGAGGCTCTGTGGTGGGGTTAATGGCGACCTCCTCCAAGAGGACTTATGCAATGCCCAGGTCTGCTGCATCCAGAGCCCCTGCCCCTGTAGTAGTCCACTGCTGACCTGGACCTCTGCAGGAGACACTCAAACACAGTTCTGTCTCAATCTCTGTGGGGTCTCTGGGTCCTGGGGTTTGTTTGAGCCCTCTGAGCATCTCTGGCAGGTATGGGGTTTGATTCTAAATGCAATTTCACCCCTCCTACCATCTTGCTGTAGGGCTGCGCAAAAAGGTCATTCAGGTTTTTCTGTAAGCTGTAAGGGAAAAACTCAAATGAACTTTTTGGCCAACCCAATAATTTAAAAAGAATATATAAATTTTATTTGGATCCTTTTTCAAACAAACCAACTTTAAAAACAAGGAAACAAAACTGTGAGAATATTAGGAATATCTTAAAGAAAACATAACATTAAAAGGTTTTAAGAAAAGTACTTTTAGATATGGAAACAGTATTGTGGCTATGCCTCCAAGGAACTGCTCAGGAGAAATGTAGAGAAATGTACTAACATATCTAGGGTTGAGATGATATGATTAGGTTCAAAATAATCCAGGGGGGTTGAGAGAGAGAGAGGCAGTATGTTAGAAGACAAGACAACACTGGCTCCAAGAGGGTAATTACGGATGCTTACATATGTAACTGGTGATGGGTACATGGGGATGCATCATCCCACTCTCTATATTTTTGTAGTTGCTTCAGATTTCTATAATTAAAAGTTAATTAAAACAAAAGTCCTTTCACTTCCAGCAGATGGAATAGAGACCAGCTTTACTCCCTTGTCTGAAACAAAAGATTGAACAAAAATCAAACAATGGTTTTCAAGACGCTGCACATGATGAAGCAACAAATATCCCTAAAAGACAGAAAACAAAGAAGCTGAGCTTTGCTAAAAGCTTCCAGGCTGTGACAAAGGAAGAGTCTGATGGACCCCAACTTAAGGAGACAGAA